GAAAATAAATATAAGAGGGGCGGGTGTGGGCAACGCCCGTATGGCGTTATCCGATGTGGCAGCGCCATAACGGGGGAACACCGCCCCCCTCCCGTTATTAGATGTTAGTTCCCCCCTCCCGTTATTAGATGTTATGTTATCTCGCGCGATGGTGGTAACGTATCTTAATGTGTAAAAAATCGACCGTTTGCAAATTCAAACCGTTTAAAAACGGTAACTTTAATAAAAATTTTTTTTTTTTACTAATTACATTTTCATTTTTATATATATACCTCATTCTTTTTACTACACATATTTCTCTATATCTATCTCTATTTTCTATATCACTCAAAACACAAACACAAAAATCAACAAACTATGGATGAATTTGATCCGGCCCATCCATACAATGATGATAACGACGAAGACGATTTGTTCGTGAGTATGATGTACCGGTATTACACAGACAGCCTACTACAGCCAGATCCAGCTCCACTACTCACGCGACGTGCGGCGTTAAATAGAGATCGTGAGGAAGGGCATCGGCGGCTAGTTAACAATTACTTTGCGGAAAATTGTGTCTACCAGCCAAGCGATTTCAAAAGAAGATTTCGTTTGCGAAAAAATGTCTTTGAAAGGATAGCCAACGCTATGGAAGCAAGGTATCGTTTGATTCAACTTTTATAATTTACAAAATGTCACTTTTAGATAAAATAAATACAATTTTTACATGTTTAATATTTAATTAGGTATGAATTTTTCCAAATGAGATATGATGCTAGAGGCAAACGAGGCTTCACAGGGTTGCAAAAATGTGTTGCTGCAATTAAACTTATGGCAATGGGGGAGTCGCCCGATTCTGTTGACGATTATATGAGAATGTCTGAGAGGACCGCACGAGAAAGTTTGTATTTATTGGCAAGAGGTGTTGTCGAAACCTTCAGTGACCAATACTTGCGCAAACCTTCGTTGCATGATATGCAACAACTATATGCGGCGCATGAAGAAAGACATGGTTTTCCGGGTATGCTTGGGAGCATTGATTGCACACACTGGAAATGGAGGAATTGCCTCGTGGCGTGGAAAGGCCAATATTCGAGCGGTCATCATGGAGCGCCTTCGTTGGTATTAGAGGCTGTTGTTTCACAAGATTTATGGATTTGGCATGCTTTTTTCGGGGTTGCAGGTTCTAATAACGACGTCAACGTTCTCGATCAATCATCAATATTTGACGATCTTTTGTCAGGAAAAGCCCTGGATGCTCCTTTCACAGTGAATGAAAATGAATATAAGTTTGGGTATTACGTTACAGACGGAATATATCCACAATATTCCACGTTTGTGAAGGCGTTTCGACACCCAATAGATCCAAGGGACAAATATTTCAAGAGACGACAAGAAGGAGCACGTAAGGACGTTGAACGTGCTTTTGGGGTTTTGAAATCAAAATGGCACATACTTGAACATGCGGCGAGATCTTATGAGTTAGATACTCTACGATATATCATGTATGCATGTATCATAATGCATAACATGGTTGTCGAAGATAAAGGACGCAATATTGCAACGTATTCGCCTACGGAGCCAAGATATGTGCAATTTCAACTGGGGACATCGAAATATTTACATAGAGTGGTTGATATTCAAGATCAGCGAAAACACAAGCAACTCCGTGAAGACTTGGCGGATTACATTTATGTTGGTCACGAAGATGAAGATGAATAGTTTTAGGCCAAAAAATGTAGGTTTTATCATCTTTTTTTTTCTGGCTTTTTAGGTTTTTAAATGTTTTTGTGTTTTGTTGTAATTTTTTAATGTTGTTTTTAATTTAAGTTTTATTAAAATTTTATTTTTACTTTTCAAATATAAATAAATAAATAAAACAAATTCGAAATATAGAAAAAAAAAACATTAAAAAAAAATAAAAAATAAAATAGAAAATAATTGGTGTTATCACATGTTATTAGATATTGCCCATTTCCACCTTGGGTGTTATAACACCAAATTGTGACTAGGATGATGAGGTGGACAATTTGGGTGTGATAACATGTAATAACATGTTGCCCACACCTAGTAGTCTAAAGTGTGCAGTGTCGATGGCAGGATCGGTAGGTAACGCCGTAACGGAAATTAAGACTGATTGGCAATCTCTTATTAGCGATATTCAAAATCTTAATAATCTATAAACTTTGAATGAATTTGGATCCATATGAAATATATCTACTATAATAAATGAAGATAATTTTGTCACATGTCAATCTCTCATAAATTTTGACACTTGTCATTTTGTGATAATTTTTAAAATAAAATAATATCCACATGTAAATTTCTAGATTTTTTCACTTTTTTAAAATTAAAGCCACATAATATTTATACTTATACATGTAAAGTATTAAATGTAATAAATGTGATAATAAATTGCAATTAATATGTTTTTCATTCATTATTTCAAAATTTTATTTTAATGAATATTTATTGTTTACACTTTGATCTTTTTTAATCAACCCGTGTATTACACGGGTTTTACACCTAGTGTTATTTAATAAAGTTGTTGAATGGATGTCTTTACAAATGTCAAAAATACATATACTTAATGGAGACCCGATATTCAAACCCGAATTGATTGGGAAATCATGTGACCATCACATATGAAACCATAATATGGGTGAGCAAAGTCAATCCCTTCGATCACGATTTTCATCATCGGTCTTCAAATCTTAAGGTTATTAAGATCATCTCAATAATTCAAACCCAAAGTCAAATCTCCAACTAATTTGCATAGAGATCACTCGGGGAAAGAAAACATTTTAGAAGAAAAACATTGATAAATCATCATCACAACTCATCAATAACAAATCATCATAAACAAATAATGCAATACATATCCAAATACTCAATTCTTTACTCTCATGAAAGTCTATTTCTCTCTTAGGGCCAAGATGATATTTGAAGCATACACAATGTATTAACATTACTCATTAAACTCATTTACGGGACTCACTCCTAAATATTGAAGGATTTTGTTCATCACACATGAAACCATAAAAATAGGCGAGCAAACTTCATCCTCTCAATTATGAATTTGTAGAATGTCAATCACAACTCAAAAGTGTCATTGTTTACATCAAACCGTAATCCCAAAATAAAAGTGTTTGGACAACACACAGGTCAACCCATCCTAAGTGGATGCAATAATTATCTTGAACTCTCTTTTTAAAATGTAAAGTTATTCTTTGTTTTATAAAAACCCCTTAAAAAGTATTTTTCGTAAATGAACACTCAATGTCTATACTATTTCATACAACAAAAATAAGTGTAGAAATAAGAAAACTCATAATTTAAAATTGGAATATGGATATGTATTATTGTGTAATGAACCCACCTCAAAGTGTAGACTAAAATCTAATAAGCTATTTGAGTATAACCAAAGGGTAATTAGCTTATCAATATCAAGTGTTTAAAAAAAGACGTTCATCCTCTTTTTGGTTGAGAGTTCTCATGATGGACAATGTAGTTAAAGAATAAGATTTATAGGATTTGTGTGTTAGTCTTCCTATAAAAAGAAAAGTTATATCCGAATATAAAGATGGTCTAGGAGCACCACCAAATATAAGATAACAAATGAACTCAACTATGATCCTCCAATTCTTTATCCGGCTCCAAATCATGAAAGGAAGCAGGGCTTTCAAAGGTTTAAGGCAAAACTTTTCCAATTTGATTGTTTTACTCCTTGAGTTGTATTTTCCATCAAATGGCCCCAAAATATCCAAACTTCTTACCTACTCTTAATATTTATAGTTTAACCTCATATATAAATTATCTTAATATTTTTGGACCCAAACCTAACTGACTCATGGTCAAAACCAAGTATTCTATTTTGACAAGTTTGGTCTTTTGACAAGTTTGGTCCCTCAAACTTCATATCTTCAATTTGACCCAAATTAACCTTCTTTTTTAAATTTGAAACTTTTAAATCCATCAATTTAATTTTATTTAGTTTAACTTTAATTAAGCTTGTTATTCAAATAGTCCCATCAAAGATTGAAGCTTGAAGCCCTAACATACAGGTGTACACTCCAAAAGTTACGTATCTTAAAAAACTTTGTATTATAATTTTCGAAACCTGGTTTTTTTCTTCGTTCCATAGTTGTATTGCATTTAATATAGGGGGTAGTATAACTTATCAGATTGTAACACGGTTAAAACTTCATTTTTTACAATTTTTGTAAATCATGGGTTGTCAAAAGTGGTCGAACAAAAGCATGCTTCTTGGATCACAAAAATTTGTGAATGCTAATCGTAGAACACCAGTGTCATACGCATACAAAGCTAGGCCCTTGTCGATATTCATTTGCGCCGAATTGAAAGTACCTTGCTTAACCACTTTACAAGTGTCACACATGATTATTTTAATGTCAATTTTGTTGTAGGCTTATATAACCCACCACATCTTTTGCATTGAGCCTTTATTTCTCGCCGATGTCCATCTCTCGCAAATCAGTATTCCACCAAATAGTTAGGCTGGTAGTACATTTAAGAACTTTCGCCACGTCGCCATTTGTATAGGTTTTTATTATGGTTGTATCAACGGAAACGAAAGCTTGTGAGGATGTTATTTTAAAATTGAAAATTAAAGGAGTATGTTTGGAATCAAGAATACAAGATTGCGAAAAAACATTGATAATACGTTTTTAGTGGACTATCGAAATTGAAACAACCAATACCTGTAAATCAACACTAAAGGGTTAAAGTGTAATTTCGGGGCTTCCGATAGTTAGAAACAAGTCAAACAACTATAACATTTTTTGTGAGGAAAAAAAAAATTACCAACAGTTGGATACGAAAATCTGGTTGTATCAAGCCGAGGCCTGAACCGAAATTTACCAAAGCCTTCTTAGCTTAATGGGACTGGAAACGAATAGCGAGGCCTTTCTAATGGGCCGGGAGTAGGCCCTAAATACAAACTACACAAGTGTAATATACTAATACAACGATAAACAGTCGTTCTCTCGTGCCAAAGCCCTAAAACAGCAAAAACCCTCTTTCCCTTTGCGTTCTCCGGCAAATTGTTAATCATCAGTCTCTTCTGCATTCACTCCGGCAATGAAGCTCGTCCGGTAAGTGCCGACGGTCTCTGCTGATTATTTAAACTTTGTTGAGAATATGTAGGTTTCTTATGCAATGTTTTGACTATTTTTCCTTTTTATCTTTGGTTGATTTTGACTGGATAGGTTTTTGATGAAGTTGAACAATGAGACGGTTTCGATCGAGCTCAAGAACGGAACTGTTGTTCACGGAACAATCACAGGTTTTCATCTTTTTCTTTCACTTTTACATGAATTAGTTTATGAAAATCGTTCATTATTATACGGTTTCATATAATATTTCTTAGAAATTTACTTCGATAGAAGTTTTTTTAGGAACAGACGTTTATCCTTGTCAATCACGCGTTGAGTTCCTTACAAAATAATGGACGTAGTTTAATCTCCCAACATTGTGTTTGTCGAAGAAGGTGGGTTAGATGTTGTGTTTTATTGTACGTTTCACATTGATTAGGTTTCACTTCGTGGTTGCATTGCAAAATCAGAATTCTAATTCGTCTCCTTCTACTAAGGCTGTAAGATTTTTTTGCACTTGTTTATAAATGAAAGTGGAGAACAATAACCTGTACGCCATAACTTTTAATCCTTCCCTATTAACCACACAATCATTATAGGAATTAGTAAAATTTCACATCTTTCAGCTTATCATGTAAATGTCACATATGCAAATTTGGTTTGAAGGCATATCTAGCATGTTAGAGTTAATTTCTCTATCAACATGTATTGTTTCTCAATTAGATCTAAAAAATTGCACAAAAGATTCCATGAATCATTTAAAGCTGTATAATTTATGAATGAGCGAAGGTGTCCGAACCAGAATACTAGGGAGATGATACTGATAAAAGATTATGATGAGCTGTTATGGACATTTTCTGTGAATATTCAATATCCATGAGAAACTGTTTCAGAAATCAGAGTATTGGTAGTATCATCTATTGGTTTCTCTTACCTTAAGCATCAATAATTAAACAAATACATTTAAAAAATACAGTATATAATTATACAGTGGGTTTGCTGGAAGTGTTTTTAATTTTATGATTTAGTACTTGTAAGGAATGATGAAAGATCATAGTTATCACATTTCTAATCAACCGCCTTTCCATTGCTTAACTCTCATTCACCTAAGAGACCATGAGAAGTATGCAATAGTTTGATAGATTTACTAAATTAATGACAATGTTTTTCATTTTATACACAACTGAAAGCAATAAATACTTTATTGCAGGTGTGGATATTAGCATGAATACACATTTGAAGACGGTTAAACTTACCCTAAAAGGGAAGAATCCAGTGAGCTTAGATCACCTGAGTGTGAGGGGCAACAACATCCGCTACTACATCCTTCCCGACAGCTTAAATCTCGAGACTCTTCTGGTCGAAGAAACTCCCAGAGTCAAACCAAAGAAACCAACTGCAGGTAGTTTCTTTTTAACACCATTTGACCCTTTTTTTTGTTAAAATAATAATAATAAATGAAATTATTTGTGACATTTAGGGTACGTTTGGTTGTGGAAAATTTTCCAGTTTTCTAGGAAATTTTTCCAAGAAAAACGGAAATTTTGAAATCGCGTTTGGTTCATTCAGTTTTCTAGGGCTGTAAACGAACTGAACGTTCAACGAACTGTTCGGGAACCGTTCGGCGGGAAGTTCGTTTATGTTCGTTTATTTAATAAATGAACGAACATGAACACAAATTCTCGTTCGTTTAGTTAAACGAACAAACATGAACAATGGTCTCGTTCGTTCAATTATGTTCGTGAACGTTCGTTTATATTGTTTGTTTACGTTTGCTTATTTTCGTTCATATAAGTTCCTTTTATCTTCATATATGTTTAATTGTGTTTGATTACATTACTATATTATATGTTCATTTATGTTCATATATGTTTGTTTATCTTTGTTCGTTTATGTTCGTTTGTTAATGTTAGTTTAACATGTTTGCGAACATAAACGAACAAACATGAACAATGTAATTTGTTAAACGAACAAACATGAACAAGAAAACTCGTTCGTTTAACCGTTCGTGTTCGTTCATTTGTTCGGTTAACTTAAACGAACGAACATGAACAAGCTCCATTCGTGTTCGTTCGGTTCATTTACAGCCCTACAGTTTTCCAAAATTTTCCAAGAAAATGAAAATTTTCAGTTTTCCAAATTGTATGTAAATTAGAAAAGTGATTTTTACAGTTTTCCAAAGTTTTCCAAATTTCTAAGATGGAAAATGAAAACTCCCCCGATTTCAACCAAACGCGTTTTCTAAAATTTTCATTGAAAATTGAAAGCGAAAACTAACTCTATTTAATGAAAACATTTTCTTAGAAAATAAAAACAATTTTCCACAACCAAAGGGTGCGTTTAGTTGCGGAAAAATGGGTCATTTTCCGGAAAAATTTTCCAAGAAAAATGAGAATTTTGAAAACGCGTGTAGTTCATCTATTTTTCTAAATTTTCCGTTTTCTAAAATTACAAAGAAGTTGGAAATTTTTGGAAAACCAATAATTATTGTTTTCCACATTTTTCTAATTCCAAAATTTTTCTAAAATATAAACACACACTTACTCCCATTTCTACCTACCCCCACCTCTACACCTCCAACCCACCACACCCCTATCTACCCACACTCCCAAGCCTACCCCTACAAACACACACCCCCCCCCCCCCCCCCCCCCCCCCCCAAACACACACATCCACACCCACAAACACGGAGCCACCCCCACCCCCACAAACAGACACACACACACATAAACAAACACCCACCCCCTACCCCAAACACACACACACACCCATCCCCACCCCACCCAATCCCCCACACACACACACACAAACCCACACCAACCCCACCCCCCACAAACACACACACAAACCCACCCCCACCCCCAAAAAACACACACCCACACCCACCCCCACCCCCACAAACACACACACCCACAAACACACATAGACACACCTACCCACCCAACACCACTACCACAATCACCGACCTACCATCACCATCACTATCACCACCACCACAAACACACACACCCACAAACACACATAGACACACCTACAAACGCGTTTTCTAAATGTTTTCAATGAAAAATGAAATCGGAAAATGAAAACGGAAAAGGGAAAACGAAAAATAGAAAATGAAAATTGTTTTTTCATAACTAAACGCAACCTTAATAAATCCTTTTTTTCAGGGAGACCGGTGGGACGTGGAAGGGGCCGTGGACGCGGACGTGGTCGTGGGCGAGGCCGTTAATGTTAATGTTGTTGATTGTTGTAGTGATATCTGGTTTTGTAAACAGCTGCTGTATTCGTGGAGAGTTTCTTTGACAACTGACATTGTTATGGATGTGATCATTTTGCGGGTTTGTTTTTCCCTTTATGCCCCTAAAACCAACTCGCTTTTTATGGTCAATTACAAGTATCTTTCAAGGATAAGTCCCTTTTCTCATTAGTTTGTTAATTAGATTTGGATTCATGATATTAAGAGTATAACTAGCGTGTTCAAGTGTTTATTCTTTATGAATGCATGATAATGTTACCCAAAGCTTTGACGTTTAGGTACATCTATTAGACTACTTTTTTGGGATTGCTTATTTCTAAAATGGGTCAAAATAAGATTTAAAAAACTTACCTTTTAGTCAGACCAAAATGTTTTTTTTTTTCTTCTGTCAGCTACCTAAATACACCCAAAGCTTTGACGTTTGGGTACATCTGTTAGATTACCTGATTTAGATCAAACAAATTAGACCCCATATAATCAGGGGTATAAGTAGAAATACTATGTCTATAAGGTTGTTGAGTTGGTATAAATTGATCGGTCGTTAAAATTATAAATTTAGTAACTAACTTGCTAAAATTATAAGTAGAAATACTTCAAATCCGAAGTTGCTGACAATGCAATTATGTTTAGTAACTTTCTTGTTAAATTTAACTTAACATATCATGATTGTTTTTCTTATTGATAAAAATGTCATAAATTGATCGTTAAAATTATAAAATTTAAAATGATAAAATATGTCATTAACAATTAGTAAAATATAAACTTTATTGAAAATGGATATAAGTTTAAAGCAATACTAAAAATAAAATACGGAACGTTTTTAATTTATAATTAAAGGTTTTTATTATTGGGATAGTTTTTTAAAACTTATAATCATTTTGGATTTTTATATTTTTATACAATAATACTAATGTACATAATACCAAATAAGAACTATAAAATATAAATACCCGTCAATGGTATAAATTTTAAGATTATCAACATATATTATTATTTATATATTTCAAATAAATAATCAAGTTATTGAATTTTGAAATGAAAATAAAAAATATATGGGTGTGTTTTAAAATTTATATATAAATTAAAGGAGTTAAAAAAAAGTGTAAGAAGAATTGAAATCATGTAAGCAACGCATACGATGGGATTGATTTTTCTTTAAATTGTTCGGAGATATTTTTTTTTTATATATTTCAAATAAACAATCAACTTATTAAATTTGAAATGAAAATAAAAAAATATAAGGGTGTGTTTTAAAATTTATATATAAGTTAAAGGAGTTAAAATGAAAAAATGTATAAGAAGAATTGAAATTTTGTTAGCAATGGGATTACTTGTCTGGATATCAAATCAATTTTTGTTGTTTATATATGAATCATATGCAAACAGTTAATGACACGACGCCATAGTGACATAATGACTAATGGTGGTTTTGACTTACTTAAATGGTTTTCACCATGATGCCACTAGAATCCCCCGTATACAGCCATTGATTTGCCTTAAGTAACCTCAATTTGATGTCTTGTTACATATACAAACCATTGACTTGCCTTAAGTAACCTCAATTTGATGGGACTTGAGAATAATTGAAACAGTAATATCTAAATACATTATGTTTCTTGTTACATATACAATTTATTAAGACTTTCATTTATAACTCTTAACAGATACTAAACTTCTAACTTATCCCTTCAACTATTAAATATTTTATCGTGTAAATTGTCATATAATATCTCAATTTTATTTTGTGTACTTACATAATCAAGTTTATTTTGTATAATTACATAATCAATTTTATTTTGAATAATATCTTAGTTTTATTATAGGAAATTTCATATAATTTTTCAATTTTAAAGTTTTCTTCTAAGTTTTAATATTAACGATATCAATCGGGCCAGACGAATCTAACGAACATAAATAGAGATTAGAGATTTGTTCATATTCATTTATTTAACCTTTAACAATAAACAAACGAACACAAACAATTAAACGATTTTTTTATGTTCGTTTGTTAAGAAATTTACTTTGTTCATGTTCGTTTAGTTGAAAACTGAACATCATAAATGAACATAAACGAATACAAACACAAATGAGGGGAGGGGGGGGGGGCACAAATTAACATAAAATAATACAAACACAGTAAATTTGAAGTCCCTAGCAACAATGAACATCCAATGTGTGTGTGTGTGTCTATATATATATATATATATATATACACACTCACTGGATGTTCATTGTTGCTAGGGACTTCAAATTTACTGTGTTTGTATTATTTTATGTTAATTTGTGCCCCCCCCCCCTTCCCTTTTTATATATTTTTTCATTTTTTTGCATAAAAACATAATATGATATTTTTCACTACTACAATAAATAAAAATTACAAGTTTCATTTACTATCGTTTTGTCAAACACTATCATATTTTAATTTTATTAATTATCAGATACATCAATAACATGAATATTACAATTATTACGTGGTGTATACACTACAAATACAATTATATTATAGAGAAAAATTGAATTCATGATACTGACTTGTTACTTATAAAATTCCATATTATTAATTTTAATGTCATCTTTATTATACAATGGAGTCAATATGGATTTTGTTGACATTGATTTCTATGGAGTCAATATGGATTTTGTTGACATTGATTTATATGTAGGTACAACTTCCTTTAAATCAACAACTAATAGATTGCCATTTTTCAACACTCTAATATTTCGATGTCATGTGAAAGTCACCATAACAATTGTAAGTACTTTTAATTAGGATAACCAACTGATCCGTGGTTATTTTTATGTCGTGATTATTAGTGATATTCTTACATATTTTTATGTCATTTATTATGTTTGTTTTATAGGCAATTGTTCATAGGGTGGATAAACAAGATGAGCAATTATGCAAAGTTTATCTTCATGCCAACTTTCATGTTTCTTCCCAACATGTATTTAGTTTGATAGTTTATTGTTTTGAGTAAGTACTAGCACAATGTTTAGTTTTATTAAGCACTAGACGAATTCCCGCGCGTTGCGCGGCGCAAGTTAAAAATATATTGTTAGAATATAATTTTCAGACACCTTTTAGTTAATTCGATTCATCAATTTAGGCTCTTTTATAATTATTATATTTAATGTTTTCCTTTTAACTATGTTAAAAAATATATATTGAATTTTTTTTAAACATTATTTGATATTTTACTTTAGGTTTTAAATTTTACACTAAATTTTTAAACTTATTTGATATATTAATGTAGGTTATTTATTTAACTATATATTGAAGTTAACAAATTAAGTATATCATATTGATAAGTCACAAATTCTTCCATTTATGATAATGTTTACAATTAAAAGCATATTTAAGTTAATAAATTAAACATATTGTATGGAAATATGAAAAGTTTGGAGTTTCAAATGAATGTGGTGAAAGAAAAAAAAAATGTTTCTTTTATAATATAGTATGATGATATGATGATTATAGTTTTAATTTTTAAGTCATTGTGATATATACAATTATTTGATAATTTTATAAACCGTTTAAAATTGTGTAAATTATATATCAAACGTATGATAATCTATATATAACGGGTAACAAAATGTATGAACAAAAATATGTACTACAACTTTTAGTAACATAAAAATACAAAAACATCTATTATAACATTTGTATTAAAAAATATATATATATATATACAACGAATAATAAAAAATATGAAAATTAAACACTATAACTTTTAATAACATAAAAACACTAAAACATTTATTATAACATTTATATTAACTTTTCATATTGAAATCACAAATCTCTTCAAATACATTAATGTTTTTAATGAGCAAAACTTTACAACCTTATAAAAGAAAGGAAAATAAAAAGTTATTAGTGATTACTAATTAATAATCATAAGTTAAAAACTCTTGAGTTGTAACTAATAAATATACATAAATTAGAAAACTCTTGAGTTGTAGTGTGAGTTTCAAATGAATACGGTACTTGGAAATGTGTATTTATTATTATTATTATTATTATTATTATATTCGTCTAAATAATTGGTTTTGATGCATCATTTTAATCCCTTCAATTATTAAACATAAAGATATTTAATTATAAATTTATAACATCCATAGGTGCATATATATGTTAAACAAATCACATATAATATATATTTTCGTAAATGTCATATGTAATTCTTGTCGTAGTAATATGGATAAATTACTTTCATATGAAGAATATATCATGATAAGTCATCATAATTACATATCAAATGTTAAAAATTATGTTATCTTTTAAATATTGTCTTGTAAATATGTTGTGTATGATAACCCAACAAAAAAAATAATAGAAAATAAACATAATCAAAATAGAAAAACTACAATCAAATAAATAAGAACATTGGGTGGTTGAATATATAAATAAAAATGTTACATAAATATACGTTTAAATCAAAAGAAAAAACTAACATTCGTCTACTTTGCTCAAACAAAAAAAAACCTATATCCATTTTCTGAATCTTCTTTCTTTATTTAACACCATTCAACCATAGAAACTTGATGACAATTCTTCACTAACCAACAATCAAAATGTTTTTCTTGAAAAAGAAAAATGAGAAAGATATTCCAAACAAAACATTGATGTTTGGAGAGTCACATTCAAGATTGAGTAATACATACAAGTCACATATAAAGATCAAATGAGAAATTGAATATAAAGAAAGAATAGAAAATCTTCATTTGTTTTGGTTGAAAGAAAAAAATAATATTACAATTATCATCGATGCGACATAACCCATTTCTTCAAATCATCATATTTGGATCGTGAATGCTTCAACTATATGAAAACTTTTGAATCATAATATCTTCAAACAAATGACGACTTTTTGTAAGAAAAATGTAGTAATATAACTACATATATAATGAAGGTGAAAGGGTGTGGGGTTTCAAATGCATGAGGTGTTGAACTTATATAGTGTGTGCTTTTCTTGGAATGAGATTATGTGTGATTAATTACTTTGAAGGTGAAAGGGTGTGGAGGTTTCAAATGCATGAGGTGTTGGGAAATTTTTATGGGGGTTTCAAATGCATGAGATTCAAAAAAAATGCTAGCTTTATAAGTATGTATGATGATTTGAGAAGATATGTTTGTTTTAAATATTGAAAATATTGTTGTAAGAC